AATGTTATTGTTTCTTGCTCTGTATCTTCTTACTTCTAAAAGTATCCACGGAAACCGATTTAAATGCTAAACTAAAATCAATATTGAAAATTTTTTTTATACAGCCATAATTTAACAATTTTATTCTTTGGAATGTTCTTCTTCACACTTTAAGGTATATCATTTGTACATTTTTTCACGGCTTAATTCTAGTCCTAGATATTTCTTGGCAGTTTTGGATCGAGAATAATCACTTTCGTAGCACGGAGGAATTCATTTTTGCTTTTATTTTTTGTTACTGTCAACTATCTATCAAGTAAAATGCTCTGCCAATTAAGGTGACTAACCTTAGTGTGGAGATACTGCTGTTTACCGCGCGCGAAATAGCGTACCCGATAAACAAATCCGACAGCTCATGGAGTTACTATGCTTTACCTCGTTCTATAAAGGATATACTATCTTTTCTTATAATAATAGCTAGGCCACCAGTAATACTTCACATACCATCTTTTGCCACAAATAAGATTGGAACATATTAAGCTTAGCCACTATATTAGTCCAAATTAGAAAAAAATGGAGTTACTACCCTTTACCTCTACGGTACAGATATATATATATATATATATATATATATATAATATATATATATATATATATATATATATATATATATATATATCTAAACACATTATGCTCTAACGAAACTAATTAAGCAATAAAGTTGAGATTTTTGCGTTATAGTTTTATATGTATAAAATACTTATTGCTAAAAATATTTAATAATTATTAAATATACACGACAACAATGTCTATGATAATTTTATAAAAATTGTAAAAACATTCTTCGAGGTAATTCCAATATTTCTGTGAGAAAATTCCTTCTTTACCCCAGGTATAGTCAAGAATATGACGGTAAAAATAGTAGAAAACCTCTGATTTTTTTATGTGTCGATTTGCTTGAAATTTTTTGACAGTATTTAAAAAGTAGTTCAAAGATTAAAATCTACCATATGGCAATATGTACTTTCCCTCTAAGGGGTGGTTGCCACCAAAACTCGGGAGGTGGAAAAAACATGGTAGTCGCTAGAATAATGAATTTTAGGACAAAAATTTTCTTTAGTGTTTTTTGGTAAGGTCAACATTTTTGGAGTTATTAAGAGTGATTAAAAGTTCACAAATTATATGCCAAAAAGCATGTTTTTAAACGAATAACTCCAAAAATTTAGACCTAAAAAATTTAAGCGGGAAAATTGTTTGGGTATAAAATGAAGATCATACAACATAGAGATTGTTTTTTTATAATTACCGCAAACTTAATATCAACAAAGTTATAGCTGTTAAAAAGTAGACTTTGATTCATCGAATAGAAAAATCCAAACATATGATGTTGAATAACCGGAAAACGGTCAGTTTTTCATGAAAAACTTATGGAAACATTTTTAAAAACCTTTAAAATTATCACTGGTAAAAGTGATTTGCATAAAAATTATATTAATAGAGTAATTATATAATAAGAATTAAGTTAAATTATAACTAAAATGGGATGTAATGGAATAGTGATGCGCAACATATAGCCTCTCCTATTCAAATGTCAACCTCACCTGCTCGTATAATGATCTAGATCATGGTCATCTGGTGCATCCTCCTAGATAACCAACGAGGCTCTGACGTCCGAGTATTTGCCGGGATAAGCAATCCACCATTTACTGGCCAACGGCTTCGGGCGGATGAGCTGGTAAGTGGAAGGACACTCTGTTGTCCTGAGATTGAGAAATTGGTCTCGAAGGCGGAAAGAAACAAGAAAATGGTTAACGGCATCAGAATGCAGAAGGCAACGAGAAACCACTGCATTAAAGGTCCCTGATGACATCTCTAGTACAGCTATCATGGCAAACACAACTAAAGTGGAAACAGCTACTAATAATTTAATACTGAAGCCAAGATTCGGCAGGGGAGGTGATCCACCTCTAGATCACAAAACCTCCCAGGTCGTAACCCCTGTAATAGAACTGGAAAAGTCTTTCTGAAAACTTCAGAGTTGATTATCAAAATATGTACCTAGAATGTGAAGACAATGTATCATGCTGGAAAAGTTCATAATAACATTCAAGAAACGGCCAGACTGCGAATATAACTTTTCCACAATCATATCTGATTTAATTTGTAGTCTATAGAAATAGAAAAAAAATAGTCTTCAGGAAAAAAGTATTACTGATACAAATTTTGCTCTGAAAAAGAAAACTGTTTTTTTTTGTATTGTAGCATTTTTCTGTATCTGTTTTAGTTGTTGAGTTATTTTAAAGAAAGGGGATTTTTTAGGAAATTCAGAAAATAGTGTCTGTCCAAATGAAAGACAATCCAAATCATGAAGCAGAAAAACGTCAATAAAAACACATAGCAACAATCAGACCCAAAATCGAGATCTACGACCAGGAGACTGGGCCGATAGACGTGAATGGAGATTGGGAACCGCAATGCGCAGGTTGTTATAAACCTGACATTGTAAATAACTTTCTACCAACTAGGTTTACGACACCTTGTGGTGAATATCAATCAAAACTATTCATGTTCATTTCCTTTATACCGGTTTACTTCATTTTGATATTCCAGTTCGCTTCGAAGTTATGACGTATCGAATAATATTGAATAAAGTATTACTTTTTCTTCAATTTCTTTCTCTTCACTTATTGCCATAACGTCAGTTTGAGAATATGTTTTTTAATTCTCAAAATGGTTTTGATAACGAAGTTTTACCAACTTAATTTCGCGGCGTTTCTAATCATTTTACAATAAAATAACATCAGAGCAATATTATAGAGTAGAGGGTTTCCAAAGAATAATTTTCACTACCAAACAATTTCATTCAGTTTTCTAGGTTTTATAGCGCTCCGAAGTTGACCTTCTTGATTACTCGTAAGCATACGATAAAACGAACCATTAGACTTAGTTTTCATTATATATTTTTTCATTCATATCATTGTAAATAAATTCAATTTATCACCGTACCAACATTAAGGCAAAATAAATTTCTTGGTAATGAAAAGAACAAAACAAACTTAATAGATCTTCTCAAAACTGTTTATTAGAAGTGGGTTTTAGTGTCGACCAGGCTGAATCTGATGCAGATACAGTCATCATCCAATTTTGTGACTGTTGTAGCAGAGGAAATTGACATTCTTGACTTGCTCACGGCATTAGAAAGGAAACAGTCCAATGTTGTGTGTCCATTTTTTTTATATCTTAAAAAGGGTGTAAGTCGCACTAATTATACTGTCTTTCAAGTACAAATACATGGCGACGTACAAAATGGGCAAACTTAAATTCGTCAAAATTTTACAGAAACATCCTAACGGAGCAGAGTTAGAAAGCCTAGAAATATTTCTAGAAAAGATAATTCTCTGACAGTATGAGATACCAAGACAGTGACCACAAATACATTTAACTTATTTCATCCGTTAACATAAGATGCATCTGGTTTCCAAAGTCATAGAGTTTATTAACAGGAAACGTTGCAAAGATTGGGACTGGAAAAAGCATGAAAAATTTAAATACTAATCAACACTCCAGCACTCCTCGAACTTCTGAAATTAATTTTCTGCAGATGCAAGGGAAACTGTGGAATTATGTGTGGTTCCCGAAAAGCGAGACTTAAGTGCTCTGCAGTGCACCTCAATTGTTCTGGCGAATCCTGCAGTAACATCATAGAAATACTAAAATTAATCGAAAAATTCGAAGACGAATTACCCACAATGACGCCAATTCTTACTCCCGTTCTTCCGCAAACGTTCACCTTCGATACTGAATTAGCGCCTGAACCGAAGTCTGGACCATCAAAGAAAATGAAAAAACAATAGCTGGAAAACAACTTTTTACATATATAATGATGCTCAATATCATCTAGCTTGGAAATTGTCCGTGGATTAGGTAAAAAACGCGCCTCCAGGCTCTACCTCACACCTCACAGGTGGTCGGAAAAAAGGTCGAAAATAAACTAATAATTTCTACAAATATCTGATATTTTCTCTAGAGTTACTAGTTTACGAGTTTTCCAAGATGTTGACCGGAAAACAAGGCTTCCCCCCCCCCATAAAAATGCATCCATAATATAACTTTTCAATGGATCAATGACATCTATGAAATATGACATAACAGCACTGTGGACAATAAAAAGACTAACGCTACACAAGATTTATTAATAAATAATTAGCAAACCACAAAACAAATAAGTGTATCTGTAATATAACCGAAGTTAACAATTTATCAGAATTGATAAATTGGAATACTCATTGCTATGTAATTGAAAAATTATGAGAAAGAACTGAAAAAGTATTGCGTTTGAGTAACCATATGGGATCGAGCCAAACGAGAAAAAAAAACTTTTATTAACTAGAAATTATAAAGCTCAAGCCTCTAAATTGAATTGGCCTACAATTAATTAAATGAAACAGTAAACAAAATTGAACGGTTTTATTCAGATATACCGTCTAGTTTCAAGAAAAGCTATTAAATACATTTTAGGTCAGTAGCACATCTAGAAACATCTCAAGCTGTCCATAGTTATGTATAAAAAAGTTCCATATAAAAACTTTATTTGACCTACTTTTTTAAATTTAATATCACATGAACCTATATTAATTCTATTCTCATTCCTTATGTAGCAGAATTTTATCAAATAATTCCATCTAGCTAACAGGTCTTTTTTTAAAGGGAAGACAATGCGTTTTTCCTTTAACAGTTCGATTTCTCGTTCGGAATCTAACTGAGAATGTTTGGGATATATAGAGGAAATATGAATTAAAGGAGCTAAAATTAATCCATACTAAAGAGTGGAATAATTGTATAAATGCCAAATTAATGCATACTAAAGAGTGAAATAATTGTATAAAATATGATACCAGCCTCCTTGTCTTATACTTAAAATGAACATAAAGGAAGAAAAGTGATTGTCACGTGTTAATTTTTTAGTATAAATTGAACAAAAAGGTAGAAAGATGCAGAAAATTGTATAAAATATACTTAGACATTGTTCATGCATTTATTCAAATGAACACAGCTTCTACAAATATCTCTAAATACCATGAGATCTTTTAAACAATGTTTATAGAAAACTATTAATGTACAATCTTCTTAGCTGATGCTGCATTACATACTTTAGTAAATCAGTCTCTTGAAAACTACTTTGTCAAAGCTCAAAACCCAATGTCTACAACTTCTTAAATCCTAACACATATAGCTTATAGTTTTTAAAATAGCAGTCATTTGAACAAGCTGCTCTTTTATTTCCTCCTATCCTATTTCCACTTTTTCATCCAACCAAAAAATTTCAAAAATGTTACAGGGCAATAATGTACTAAGTTGAGACCATTGTCCCACATTATATGTCATTGAGACTTCATGCTGACCAATTTTCTGCTTCTTGCATGGACCTAAATAAAAATAATGTGTTAATTTTATAATATAAATTAAAAAATTATATTATTTATAACTGGAACTTCAACAAAAATTTATGTTGGAACCGTCTCAAGCAAAAAATTATGCACATTGTATTTTGAAGTGCAGATAATTGCACATACTCAAATTATCTAAACTTTATTTCAAGTTAAGAATGGAAGTTTCGATTATGTAGATCAGTGATTGCCCAAAATCGGTCTTGGTCTTGCAGTCTTAGTCTTGTTTTTGCATTTTCGCAAGACCAAGACCAATACTGCCTAATTTTAGCAAGACTAAGACTGACCGTGCAAGATTTAAGCAAGAACAATACTAAGTCTGCGAGACTCTTGCATCTTGCAGTTAAGACTGAGTGTCGTGTTAGCGAGTATGTATAGTAGTTCGGGTATATGTTTAAAGACTCTATGAGACGTAAAAAATATGTAATAAAATTTGAAAAACTGGACTTATGCGCATTATAAATATATAATGCGCATATAAAAATGAAATATTTTCTACATTCTTTTCCAACAGACGACGTCTTCGCTCTGAAATTAATTGTCCAGATTTTGAGAATAGCCGCCCTCTAATCATAAAATAATCTTCTTGCATTACGACACCGACAGTAATATCGTATCGAAATTTTTGTCACCTTAGCTAATAAAAAATATAACACTTATTGTTACGGACAACCACTTAATAATTCAATTTTTTTCCCATTATAATTTAGTTAGGAGGAATCTAAATAAACAAATCTTATCGGCCTAAGACGAAACATTATTTCTACTGAGTGTGCAATGAGATCATTCGGTTAAACAAAATTTGTTGAAAGAGTGGTGCTAATATTCAACAGTAACGAGACAAATTAATAACAGATAATGTCGCCTACCGTGTAAGCAAAATACCGAAATATTTAGAATAACAAAGTAACGATATATAATTCTCGGTTTTTTATTAGATACTTAGGGCCGATTGTTCGAACGCTAATCAAAACTTGATGGTAATCAAATATTTAATTACAATCAAATACGTGACAGCAGCTGTCAAAATTATTAAAAATTGATTAATATTATTATTTATTTGTAAATAAAAACATGAAATTAACATCAGAAAGAGTTTAATTATGGTTTATTTTAAATTAAAAAGCAAAATAATAAAATTAAATAAAATAAATCAGTCAATATAACGTCAAAATGTGACGTTTTAATTGTAATTAAATATTTGATTACAATCAAGTATTGATTAGCGTTCGAACAATCGGCCTTTAGGGTATTGGATAGTAACGAACATAAAGTAACTAGTAGTAGTTACTTTTTCGACATCACTAAAATTTTCCCAATCATTCCCAATTGAGCTTTCCTTTGAGTCTAATGTAATAATTGTTTTTCATCTAATCCTTGTTGTTCCCGGAGTGACAAGTTTACAATTTGATATGAGGGACAAAGATTCAAATAGTTCTAGTCGGGGAAGTGAGAGTTGGAGTTATAGATCTAAAAGACCTAAAAGCAAATTTGATGAGTTTTTCGAAATAATTCATGCATCCCAAATTGCTTTGTGTAAACTGTGGCTACATAGAAAGGATGAAATGAAAATGAAAAACAGAAACACGTCAGTTTTAAGGAAGCATCTAATATCTTTTCATAAAAAGGAATTACAAATATTTCTTCCTGAAAAAACAAAATTCGGTGGAGATACCGCAAGCTTTTTAATAACCGTTGGAAAAAATTAACATGTAAAAAAATATACTTATTACCTTATTGCCAATTACATATATTATGTACCTACTACTTTATTTTGGCAAATTTAATGTATTTATTAAGTAGGTATCTCCTTAATTTAAAATAACTTCTTTTGATTATCATTGCTTTTTACCAATCCTTATTTTTCCAAGTTAGTTTTTTATATAACAGAAAAGCTAAGATTATTAACATTTATTTTGCTTTAATAAGTGGATTATAGTTTGTAATCTTATCAACTAAAAAATCTGTGCCCTTGATACATGTATGTGGATTTGTTGCCACATACCAATCAATTTTAAGATTTCCATTTTATATATGGTGGGGGGTCCATAAATTCCTTTCTAGGCAGATAATATTCTTTAAAATACAGTCAAGTTTATGTCATTAATTTGTTTTTTTTTTTGTGTTTTAACCATGTTTTAGCACATGTAAGCGTATTAAATGCACATGTTTATTAAGAAACAAATTGACTTCCGTGGGGCATGATAGATAGCTGAGTTAGTTAGAGCATAGGCATGGATTTAGACATTTATTAATTTGGTTGGTCTTTATTATGGCTATGTTATTTTAAGATTAAAATGTATTTACTCTGTTACGTTGTTCTAAGATCTAAAGTAACGTTTAGTAAATAGCAATAGGCTTATGGGTAACTGAAAGACTTCAAAGACCAAGACCAAGACCGAGAGTGCAATATCAAGACCAAGACCAGGTGTATTGGCGCAAGACCAGGACTGTCTAAGTCTCGTCTTGTTCTGGCATTTCGGCAACACTATATACGAGTCATTATAATCAGAGCCGTATTCAGCACTGTGTAGATATTGTCAACCTGTTGTTGACGATTGTGTAGCCCTATACACGCAACATTCCGTTGTTAACGTAAAACGCTCTATTGTTAGTCCAACATATAATAATGATTTTATTTATTTATTTAATACACGCGATAACCCATTAACATTTTAAATTACAACATACAATATCACGGTTAGGATTGAAAACTTGAAATTACTTATAATATAAAATCAATATTAAACAGTTTAAAAAATGAGACAAAAAATATTACATACTAAAAAATCAAACAAAATATAACAAGAACAAAATTCAACAATCCGAATATACATATCAGAAAGCAAGAGATCTTTTTAACTGAGTTAAAGTTATATTGAAAATATCAAAATCGCAAATATTTAATAGCCACATGTATCTATCCAATGGGTTGTGAATACCATAGGTTGTTTTGTGGAAAGAATATTGAAAACATTGTGGTAACGTAGAGCTTGATGTGGAACATTAAAGTTAATCTGGCTTAACAGGTTTGGACAATCAATAAATCCATGTATGATCTTATATATAAATATAGCCCTGACATATCACGACTGTTCTTGAATGAGGGTAAAGATAATTGTTGTTAGATATGGGAATAATCATGATTTTCAATAGTAGTGCGGACATGGTAAGCACAATATCTGAAAAATTTATGCTGGACTCTTTCCATGGTATCAATATTGTTCTCAAAATAAGGTGACCAAATAACTAAACAGTATTCCAAAATAATTCTAACTAAGCAACAATGCACTAATCTTGTTGAATTAATGGAGAAATACTTGCAATTCCTAGTAACGAAACCAAGGAGTTTATATGCTTTTATTGAAATAGACAGATTTCTCCCACCTGATACTAACAAAGAATGTAGTGCGTATAATCTTTTAAGTAATTTTAAACTGTTTGTCCTTGTTTTAGTGTATAGTGTTTTGTACACTTTTATGTTATTACTCATGTTTTTCACATTCTACGCTTGCTGGATAGCTCATATTTGACGAAATGCCCCTGAAGATGCTATTTTAAGCGAAAGTACTTGGGCAAGATTTAATTAAACTTGTGCTCGATAATAGCCTTATTTTTCAAAGTTCATTTACTCGAGCATTCAACCTTATATCAATTAATTAAATATATATATTTTTGCGAATAAACCACAATAATTGTAATTTACATAATTGTATTAGCATTATATTTCCATTATTAAAAGCTTAACATTCCTGGACGACTGTGAAGATTGCTAAGTCGAGGCGCAAGCCGAGACTTAGCAACACAGAGTCTAGGAATGTGGCTTTACTATTTTTCCGCAAATCGTTTAAAATTCGACAGATATTGATTGATTTAAAAAAAAACGCGATAATTTTATTCCCAAATAAATGGTGCTTTGAAATTCCTAATAAAATTACTTGGGTTACTATGGAAACGTATTGAGGTTGAATTGTCAAACTTGACGCTTATAAATTTAATTGCTGGTGTTCTCGAAAGTAAAATGATAAGTGATGATGAAATTTCCATTCCTGGGACTCCTCCAGAGCTGGTTGAGGCAGTGAATACTGCTTCATTAGAATTATTGCCAAATAAATCAAGAGAAAAGTACGAAAATGCATACAGACGTTTTATGGATTATCGCATGAGTAAAAATACGAGTTCTTTCTCAGAAAATGTTGTAATGGCATACTTCCTAGACCTTTGTTTAAAGATGAAATCTTCAACATTATGGGCCAATTATTCAATGCTGAAGTCAACCCTTGCACTTAAACACAATGTAGATATATCTACATACTCAAAACTTCGTTCTTTATTGAAACGGCAAGCTCAAGGTTATAGGACAAAGAAATCTAAGATTTTAACGAAGGAAGAAATTGAAAATTTTATCCAGGAAGCTCCAGATAAAGAAAATTTAATGATTAAGGTAATTTACAAGGTTTTAATTTCTATTTAGATTATAGCTTTATTTATTTTTTAGGTGGCTGTAATATTTGGTATTTCTGGGGCCTGTAGAATGGATGAGTTAGTCCGAATGACTGTACACGATATAGAAAACTTAGAATTTAAGCTTTTAATCAGCATACCTGATTCGAAAACCAACAAACCAAGATCATTTGTAATTAATCAGATCTACTTGAATGTTTATCGAAAGTATGTTTCGTTAAGACCAGAAAACATGAACAGTGACCGATTTTTCTTTAAATATCAAAGCGGAAAGGGTTGTAGACAAGTGGTAGGAATTCATCAATTTAGAAAAATGCCCAAAATAATTGCTACTTATTTGAACTTGGTAAATCCGACAGAATATACTGGTCACTGCTTTCGTCGGTCTTCTGCAACAATATTGGTTGACTCTGGTGCCGACATAACTAGTTTAAAGAGGCATGGCGGATGGAAGTCATCAAACGTTGCTGAAGGATATATCGAAGAATCGCTTAACAATAAGGTTGAGGTGGCAAATAAAATTTTCACAGTACAAAATATTCAACAAAATGACACTTCCACCCTGCATGTTGTCCAAAATGTTTCTCATAGTTCTAAGAGTGTTCCTCCAATGTTCAATAATTGTACTAACTGTCAAATTACTGTAAATATAACAAATTGATCTTAAAAATGTATTCAGCAATGACTTGATGTTTTCAAAATATAAATTAATTCCTTATAAGCAATGTGTTTTCTATCATTTATGTAGAACACTAACAACTGTACGGAAATATCATTTCCTTACAGTAAGGAAATGACATTTCCTTACAGTAAGGAAGTCCTGACTTTTTCTTCAAGAAATTTTGACAGGAATGTCAAAATTTCCTGGCGATTTGCGGAAAAAGAAGTTAATAAACAATATTGTGGTTTCTGTCACTTGACAGTAGATCAACTGCTGTAGTAGTGTCAAAAATGTAGTACTCAATGTCACCATTTGTATAGGTTGTGGGAATTTTAAGAGCGGTTAACAGTCAAATTAGTATATTCCTTATTAGGCAAATACAATTACTTAATCACATTAATCAATAAAAATAAAACAAATACATTTATTAATACCACAATAAGTTTCGTTATTAAATTTACTGTAAGACAATTTATTTGAACTCAATTTATAAGATAAATAAAATAAATAAATCTCACCTCTTTTCTGGTGTTGGTATACTCAAACCATAAAACATTTGGTATAAGTGTTGTGTCCCTTAATAGAAGTAATTCTGATATACTCCAGGTCACAACTTGTGGGAATAATGGAGCAAGAACTAAGTAAGTCAGAGCAAACCAAAATGTTGCAAATAGAACACCTACTAATGCTCCATAAAGCACTTGGGATACTGTGTGATATTCTAAGTATATTCTACTTATGCTGACTAAGACGGCCATAGACAAAGATGAAAAGATTATCAAAAATTTAGACAAACTTTGTATGATAGTGTTGTTATTCATATGCTGTAACCTGAAACAAATTTACTAATAAACATATTTTTTTCTAGTCTAATAAATTGATCTGATGGATATGTCGTAGGCAAGTAGGAAATGCAGGCATTCTTGCAATAGCCTAGTCATTTTCGTAATGACTTGGCAGTTTGTATAACGTTTTTATTTTTACGAAATGACTTCACCCTTTAGGCCTTTGTGAAACTACTGGAAACTTTACAACTTTCGCATTACAACTTTCAAATCAAAATGAGTGTATTTCTGAAACCAACTTATCAGAATGAAAACATCGTCTGCAACGAAAAGAAGGTCCAAATAGAAAACATAGACGAAATGGTGTTGATTGTTACAAGAAGTTGAGACAGACTATGAAAAGTAAGGAAGCTGACAAGAAGGTGACCAAAGTAAACACTTTTTGTGAAAATTGCTAAAATAAACCGGCTTTGTGCTTAACTTGTTTTAATGCTAGACATATCTAATTATTAATTACTATTTTAATTATTATATATTTTTGTACACTTTAATATTACTTCATATAAAAACTGATCATTTTGTTTATTTTTTAAAAGTAAAATTCCATAAGTTCCAAATTGCACATCAGTATCAGTATATTTTTTTATATACCGTAAATACTTTACCGGACATAGGAATCTGGCTGCCAGAAATGGATTGAAAGGTTTACTTGAGATGGCAGTGTTAGATTTAAGGTAATTTCAAATACAAAGTCACAGAAACCGTTTATTTATAGATATGTTTACCAGACCCATTCTGGTATCGTCTGAACAGTAGACAGTGTTACCAGATACGGGGATCTGGTAATGTCAGAAAATTTTACTGACAAATTGAATGCCGCCGTGAACGTGTTAACAATCTCATATATATGTATAACATATTGTTACTACCATATGATGTTCAATGCAGGGGGATATTAAAAGTAGTTATATGGCACAAACCTAAATATGGAACATTAAATCTGATTTCATTCAGCAAGGTCAATCAATATGCCTATTTATAATTACAAAAATAAAAGCAGCACCTGAAATATCCTGCCTAATACTAAGTGGTGGTAACCCTAGTAGTTGCTTGATATTAGTATAATCATGATTAACAACATTATTATGAGATCTAAATCCAAAGTATCTCAATAACCTATGTTGAACAGCCTCTAATGTGTCAATATGACATTGAAAGTAGGGTGACCAAACTACACAACAATATTTCAAGATGGATCTTACAAGACAAAAATAAACTAATCTAGTTTCATTTTTAAAAAAATACTTACAATTTCTTGTGACAAAACCTAGAAGTTTAGAATTTAGAAGCCTTTATGGTTTCAAGTTGATATACTCCACCAAAGCAAGCCTTTCATTTAAAGAAACTCCTAAGTCTTTAACGGAAGAGACATCCTTAAGAGGTTGCTCATCAATGAAATAAGTTGTACCAATCCTGCTAACCTTTTGGGTGAGATAACAAAACTTACTAACATTTAAATGAAGATCATTCCTACTACTCCAATTAAAACAATCAAGATCACCTTGTAAAGACAACCAACTGATCTCTAAAATCTTCTTTAACCCTCCAGAACTTCAAGTCATCAGTAAACATTAAACACTGACTACTTAACACGTTGCGTACGGCTGTACAAAAAAAATATACCCCCAGCCGGCGTTTTTGTTTTATGTATCTAGATTCATTTTTATCTAATTAACATGTCAGAGTAATTTTTCTTGTTTGATATTCGATATATCATAAGTTTTTTTAGAATATACTTTGTGGCACAATGTTTGTTTCACGCTGGCCAAGGATTAATTTGTTTATTCCAGCCGGCGTGGTTTGTTATGCGTACCACACGCTATATTTCGCGCCAAATGCATGTTCATGGTTCTTGGAACATTAGTGGGGTGACTGAATTTGCAGATCGTTTGTATTCTGTGTCTAGTTAGAAGTAGTCTTAGTTGTTGCTGACGGAGTGTTGTTATCATGCCATTTATTGCAATATGGGAGATTATGAAAAAAAAAAACAGAGCCGTCTGCAACCCATTTGGGATGAGATTATGTCTGATGAGGACAATGAAAGCGAATTTGCTGATGTTTATTTGTCAGAAGAATATGAACCTGAATCTTCCAATGAGTATTCTTCTGAAGAAAAATCTGACGAAGGTAAAGTTGTTACGATATTAATTGGGAAACAACAATTTTTGGGGTCCGGTCAGTAATTCTACGGCAAACAGAAATAAAGATAATTCTTTGTAATTCTAGTTATTGATTACTCCTGGTATTAGTCCACATGGATATTGGTGTGGCTTATTACTTTGAACGTATCTTATTGGGTAATACTGAAATGTAATTGGTCAAAATTTTCGGAAGTGAATACACTGATACCAAATCTGGCTTTGCCGTTATCAGGTAAAAATTGCTTCGCATGTTTCAAAGGCGGCAAGCATCAATAACAGTGTCGTCGTGATAAACTTATTTTATTTTAAACTTATTATATAAATTATTTTATTTGTAAAATTGTAGTCTGATTTTTTAGTTCTCAAATTAATAAGCACATTACATTTCATTTGCATTATGTATGTATATACTTTTAATCATCAATTTTAAATTTCAATAAAAGTTAAGGAATTTTTAGGGTTCAGTCCCGAATAATTCAGAAATATAAACATTATTTGTAATTGATCACTAACGGTATTGTCCACATTGCAGCTGTGGTTTATTACTTTCTACGTATCTTATCAGGCACTACTGAAGTGTAATTAGTCATATTTTTCGGAAGTTATTACGCTCAAACTTGATCGTTATCTGGTTAAAAATGCCTTCTCAGGTTTCTCATACTAAACGATATATTCAGTATCGTCGTGTACGACAGCAAGTTCACGTATATTTTTAATATTTTTGTGCAAACAGTAGTGTTGTCTTTTAGTTAAGTTTGAGTTAAGACAGTAGAAAATAAGTTGTAAATACATTAAAGAATATCGAGATGACAATAGAGACATTGTGTATCTTGATGAAACGTGGTTTGACACCCATGATGTAGTTCAATATGGCTGGATGGATGATAGCAAAAAGTGCTGCTTGAATACTCCTTGTTCGAGAGGAAAAATAATTATAATTCTACATGCTGGGACTAAGAGCGGGTTTGTACCTAATGCCTTGTTATTATCGGCCAAAAACATTAAACAGTGTCATCAGCTGATTATCATGAGGATATGACGGCTGAACTTTTCGAAAAATTGGCAACGGAACAGCTGTTACCGAATATTAAAACAAATTCCGTGATAGTAATGGATAATGCGTCATACCATTCTAGACTCTACACCAAAATTCCAAATTCTAGCTCCAAGAAGGGAGATATCATAGAATTTATGGAGAACAAATGCATGACAACACCTAGTAAATGTACCAAAAAGGAATTGTTGCAATTAATTAAGCAACAAAATTTTCAAAAAGAATATGTAATAGATAAACTCTTTGGTCGCCACGGGCATACGGTTTTACGGCTCCCTCCATATCATTGTGTTTTCAACCCAATTGAAATGATATGGGCCAATGTAAAAAAGAAATTGCGGAAAATGAATCAATCTCCCCAATGAAGTGACATTGTTGTCCAAAATATAAGAACAGTGATCGAAGAACTTAACAAAACTGACATTTGGAAAAATTGTGTAGCGCATGTTCAAGTAAAAGAAAAAGAATATCCTACTTTACCACCAATTAAACCGGTAGTTATAAACACAAACGACGACTCAAGTTCTGGACACACGGATAGTGATAGTGTTTAATTGTTTGAATATTTCTACAAAGACTTCCATAACTTGTCAAAAATATGTTCTGTGTATCGAAGTAAATGTGATCTCTCGATTAATCTATAACCCAAGAGACAATTCGACTGTAAGACGAATTGGCCGATTTCATATAAGTATCTTTCAAAAATAACCTCTTTAAACCGATGAAACTTACAGATCATATTCATGATTATTTTTTACCAAAAAAAGGGATCAACTTTGTTTTGAGCGTAACTTGCTTACGTTTGATGCTAGAAACTTTTTTAAAAATTAAAAATAAAGATTTCTTTAAACAATTAAAAAAAAAGTAAAAAAAACATTTTTTTTTTATTATTTCACGTTGAATTATTCGATATGGAATTTGACGAATAGGTAAGAATCTATTTTTCATTAGCTATAACTCTGCTTCTGCTGGGTATACAGACTTCATACATATACCATTGTTTTCACTTTTTTATAAACTGTATTTTTGCTACGAACATTTTTTCCATAAAATACTTACCTTTTGAGTTATTTGCGAGAAATCGTCCAAAAACGTGGTGTTTTTGATGAAAAATGAATATATTCACTCGCAAATAACTCAAAAAGTATTGATTTAGTAAAAACCTCTATAGAACAAAAGTTACCTAGAATTAGTCAGTTTATCCACTTCCGGACTTATTTTGGATGTACAGTCAAAATCGTTTATAACGAACTTCAGGGGACTGGTGCTTTTTGTACGTTGTAGCCAGTGTTCTCTGTAAGCAGTTCTATCGGTTATAATGAACAGGTTGCTATAAACGATATTACACTAATAGGGACAGTTAGTTCGTTGTATCTAGGGTTATGACGCAAAAATGTGTTACTTTAACTATACTTATAATATGTTATAATAACATATACATAATATTTAACATATGTGTTTATTGTACTTAAGCAAATCTAAATATGTACATACATATATGTATAATATGTATTGAAATAAGTATAAGTAGTGAATAAAGTATACACATAATATAACGGCTTCTCCAAATTTTCGTATTAAAAAAATGTAGGCATACACATATACTATTTATTTTAAAAAGACAAAAAAAATACATACATATATGTATTACAAAATATGTAAACACATTATACCTGAATATTTAATGAAAAAAGTCTGTAATTTTTGTTTGTCGCCTTCCTTGAACTTCTGAAAACAACATTTTTTTCAATTGATGTGGAAACAATCGATAATAATTCTTTTACACTCTGG